ATCCAGGGGAGGTCCAGGGAATCCAGGGGAGGTCCAGGGCATCCAGGGGAGGTCCAGGGAATCCAGGGGAGGTCCAGGGCATCCAGGGGATCTTCAGGGCATCCAGGGGAGGTCCAGGGAATCCAGGGGAGGTCCAGGGCATCCAGGGGATCTTCAGGGCATCCAGGGGGGGGTGGTCCAGGGCATCCAGGGGAGGTCCAGGGCATCCAGGGGAGGTCCAGGGAATCCAGGGGAGGTCCAGGGCATCCAGGGGATGTTCAGGGCAAGGCTAACACGTCTACACTCCTCTTCACACATTCTGTGACTCACACGCTCACAGACTCACTCCACACTGAAATCCACTCACGCTCACGTTCATCCAACAGGGTCCACAGGAAACAAGAAGGGTTCAAGGAAGGTTGAGGTAAGTACAACGATCCAATGAAGAACATCACCGACATGTAAGGGTTGAGCTGAGACACATGGAAAAGAGTATTTCTGTGCATGCTCCGAGGACGCTTCAACTAGACTGAGACAAGGTTGACCATGGAGTCAATCTCAAACTGCCCATTGAAGTTGGGAGCCAGTTTCCTGGACTTGATTCAGACTGGAACGTACTGCGCTGAAAGCAGTCCATCGGTTTTCCATTGGGCAGCTCAGGTGGCTCTCCAGATGTGGCGGTGCCTGCGTAGATGATGTTGAACAGAGGGAACCATACGCTCACTCTCGACTGTTGGGAACAGCCGCTGTTGGTAGCCCTGTGATGCGACAGCCCAGTAGCAGAAGACGTGAGGCTAATATGGGCATATTCGATGCAAGTCAGGTAAGAACTCCAGGTGCTCTGTTTGGTGGAGGTGAGACAGTAAAGTGCTGCCTCCAACTCCTGGTAGGTACATTCGGTTTGGCCATTAGTCTACAGGTGAAATCCTGAAGACAAACTAACCTTGGCTCCGACTGCCGGACAGAACCCTTTCCAAACTCTAGAGTTGAACTTGTCCCGGGTCTGATACGATGTCCAAGGGGATCGCGTGAAGTTGAAAGACAGGTTTGGTAAGGATGTGGGTGGTTTCTGTTGTTAGGAAAAGCCACGAAATGTGCTAGTTTTGAGAATTGGACAACAATAGTCAGAATTACCATATTTCCTGCAGAAGGAGGAGGCCTGTCATAAAATCAAGTGCGATCTGAGACCATGGTCGTCCGGAGGTCGGCAGAGGTCGAAGTAGGCCTGCAAAAGGAAAGGTTTGAGGCTTATTTTGAGCTCAAGTAGAGCAAGCTAAAATATGCTCCCTGGTATGCCAAGTGTAGGCCACCAGGCGTTCCAGGAAAGAGATGGTCTGACTGATACCTGGATGCCAGGTGAACCTCGCCGTGTGGTCCCACTGGAGAACTCAGGACTGGACCAGGGTTGAAACGTAGAGCCACTCGGGCGGCCTGGTTCTGGGATCAGGTTTGTTGCACTGTGCCTCACAAACTGTGGACTTTATCCCCCATGTAACAGCTCTGATAACATGAGGAAGATTGAGGACTCCTTCAGAACGTCCTCTGAGGAAGAAAACTGCTGAGACAGTGCGTCGGGCTTGACATCCCGTGAGCCAGGCCTGTAGGTGATAGAGAACTGAAAATGTGTAAAAAACAGTGCCCACCTGGCTTGATGGGCGCTCATCCGTTTTGCAGTTTGAAGATACGCCAGGTCCTTGTGATCAGTCCAGACTATGAATGGTTGGGGCGTTCCCTCGAGCCAGTGATGCCAGGGCTAACTTGATGAGGAGGAGTTCTCTCCACATTGAATTCACGAAAGAAGTAAGCAAAAGGATGTAGCTTACCTTCATACTGCTGCGAGGTGATTAAAAGCAGCCTAAGAAGACTGATCCCACTGAAAGGGAACCTTGGGAGTGGTGAGTGAGATATTAGACGATCTTACTGATATTCCAGATGAAGCTGCGATAAAAGTTAGTTAAACCCAAAAAGCATTGGAGCTGCTTCCAATCTGGGGGTTTGGACCAGTCGAGTACTCGTCGGACCTTCACTGGGTCTGGTTTGATGTTCAGTAATGAAGCCCAAGAAGGAGCCTGTTTCCATGTGAAATTCACATTTCTCAGCTTAAACAAATAGCCGGTTTTCCAGCAAATGTTGTAACACCTGTTTGACAGTCTATACGTATATAAAGATATTGGAAATTATTGCCACAATGGTGCATTACTGTAGCAGCTAACTGTCTGTTTGTGTCTTGTTGGCATATAGGTTCTGTGTTGATGGGAACTACATGCAGTGAGCCATGCAGTGAGGATTCTTTGTCAGATATAGTAAGTCTTCTTCCTGGTTTATGAGTGATGCTACCATGGTGGCGAACAGTGTCAATGTGAATTTCTGTATAAGCAGACGGCAGCCATCTGCTTATACAGAAATTCACATTAAACAGAAATTTACATGAACTACTTACATTAAAAGTATAGCCAAACCCATAGATTTAAAACAGATATTCGTCTACAAATAGTGACAGAATGCAACCAGCTGGTCACCAGTTGAGTCACACTATTGCACTGACCAGTTTCAGAAGTATTGTGCTTATCAGCACAGACTCACTTACAATGATTTCCATTTGATGGCAATATTTTCGAATTTCCAAATCATTATAATTTTTTTTCAAATATTATAAATTAAGATCAGATACCTAGCCCTTTATTTGTCACGTGCAAATAAGGGGATATCTATCTTAAAGCTCAGGAAACTATTTCGACAACTTGCCAAACAGCTAAAAGAGCAAATGAAAGCAGGTCCAGGGATATCCACTACAACCTGAGATTCTGGCAAAATACATTTATATTTAAAAATAGATTTGAGATTTAATGAATCAATATCGCTTTATTCAAACTAAAAGTGATTTGAATTGGGGAAATTGGCTGTCTCAGTCCCAGCTCTGACAGGATGACCAAGACTATTGACTCCCTGTTCACCCTGCAGCGATGTTTGGCCTGGAAGCAGCTGAACTATTACAGCAGGCTCAAGATAGTCATTGCTGTGCCAAGGAGGTGTCAAGGGGCCTCCCCAGGAGATCTAGCAGTTCTAGAAGGTCTAGGGCTTCCACACATCAGCCAGCTTCTGAAGTCCCAGACTTACCCTCGGACCAGGCCAACCAGCCCCATCCCTGTCTCCCCAGCACAGGGCGACTTGGTCAGCTCTGGAGGCAGACCTTTGGTTGGTGTCTACCTTGACTGAGGGCTAATGCCTGCTGTTCTTCCGTAGACCTTGAATGACCATCTTGATCCTTTCCTCAGTGAGCGACCCCCAGCAATTCCAGATACTGCGGGAAAAACTTGGCCCTCTTGAAAAGGTTCAACACAGGAAGTGGATGCCGATAACTGACAAGCTGGGTTCTTTCCCCACTACTTTTTAGTTCTTAAGCGGGACAGGAGACTTCACTCAATTTTGGATTTCAAGGGGTCTTAACCAATATCTTCAGCCCCTAAGATGCAAGATGCTGATGAACCCGGGGGTGAGGCAGGCTGTCAAAGCCTGATGGTTTGCCACCATCAAGCTAAACTATGCCTACTTCCAGATTCCTATCTGGCAGGGGCACTCCCCTGGGCTCAGGCCAGGGGAGCGGAGACTCCATCCGCAGATGGTCCACCAGATCTGGTGCCACTTTGTAAGAGCAGAGGTCGACCTTTTTGCCTCCAGGGAGTAAACAAATTCCCTCACCCTAACCCACCAGGGCTGCCTACTCCTTTTGCTGGGGACTGTTTGCCTCTTGATGTGCAGTCCACCAGTTGGGAAACTGGGGCCACAAATGACACCACCATGCAGTTTCTGCAGTCAGGCTTGAACCTACACCACTGTACTCTGGTCATGTGGACTTTGGTCAACTGCTTGCCCACTGAGCTAAACAGCACTGCTCAAGTGACCTACTCAAGTGCCCTGAGGGTCCAGCTTGAAACCTGGGCCCCCCGTAGCCACTTACCAAGATTACTTGTTGTGCCCTCTGAAGATCTACTAGATGATAGGAGTGCAGGTCTACAGACAATTCTTACTGTGACCATCACCAGTACACAATACCAGCTGATCTACACAATACAGTGGCTTGCAAAAGTATTCGGCCCCCTTGAACATTTCCACATTTTGTCACATTACAGCCACAAACATAAATCAATTTTATTGGAATTCCACGTGAAAGATCAATACAAAGTGGTGTACACGTGAGAAGTGGAACGAAAATCATACATGATTCCAAACATTTCTTATCAACACCTATGCCTTGCCCACGATCAGGTACTGCAGAGGGTCAGGCAAGTCCTGAGGAGTCAGCTGAACGGTAAGAACAAGATCCGGGC